TAACAAGAAGCCTGACCTAATGGGCCAATCAGTTTATAATCTTATGGAGTCCTGTGGTTGATTTTTCTCTTTGGGATTTGCTGACTGTGGGGTACCGGGCGGAACTGAAACCCCAACAAGCCGGCCCCCTCGTGTTACAGTCTGGGTTGTCTTTGGTGCTTCCAGGAGAACCATCAGCCCCCTGGTGCTGGGGAGCCAGAGCCAAGGACCCATGGGCAGGTGGAAGCTGGAACTAAGTCAGCCCTCCTTGTGGAGCAAACCCCCTAGAACATAACCATGTCAGACTGAGAACATCCTGACCCTGTTTCACAAACCGGCCCCGCCCCGCCCCGCCCCACCTCCACTGTACTTGCAACTCTAGCATTCAGGTGCACAACAGGCATCTCTCAGAAGTGGCTCTACCTGCCAGAAGCCCCAGAGACTTGCAGACATCGCACTGTAATTATTCCTGTGTCAGTTTGTATGGCCATTCACTTATATTTATCTGTATGTTTTATTTTTAGTTAAGATTCACTGCAGTATCTGGGAAAAAATTCAAGATCATTTTGTTCTAAGGAAATGATAATACGATTAGCACAGAAAGCAAAGCTGAGACAGTGGAACACAGGGAGGAGGTGCAGTCTGGATGCTGACTGGCTCAGGCTATAGACATCTTCTGACAATGCACTGGGCTACCCAGGATCATCACTTTCAGTCACTATGCACACACAGGCCTCTCTTGACAATACATCTGACAACCTGGGAAAACGCGTGTTTCAAAGTGCATGGACATTCCTTCCCCCGTGACAAACCATCAAAATTCTCTTTCCTAGGCAGTTTTTATTCAAACATATTCCTAGTTAGAACCAGGTAGGAGAACAAGGAGGCTGATCTGTGCTGAACTGGGCTGGGGTATGTGCACAATGAAGTTATTTGTATCTCCCAGAGAACTTTTAGAGAGAATCTATTGTTACTATCCTACGCCTCTGCATACTTAGGCATGTGTATGCTGGGGAAGGACACAGGTTGATATGTAGGGAGAAAAGGCTTAATTCAAGTCTGTGAACAACAACAACAAAAGAGTACTGTGCTGTGTATGCCCTGTGGCAACCGAGGTCCCCTTCTCTTGAACTCCATCAAAGTAAGCCCCAGCAATAATCAGGGCCCTTGAGTACCTTAACTTGTGTGGTTTTCCTGGTCTGTCTGTTGTTGTGTCCGTGTTCCCCCTCCCCCCTCCCCACCCTTTGCTTTGCTTTTGAAGCAAATTTCCTTTCTACTTTTCATCTCTGCAAGCCTTTACTTCAATTCCTTGAAGAGGCCAAAACTAGAAACAGTAGACAGAGGCTGAGACCACCTGTAACAAAGTAACGAAAAGATGGAGACCATACAAGTCAGAGGTCCGCTCACTAATGGAGAATATGCCAGCTGCTGTTTGCATAGCTGGGTGTTGAAGACACGTGACTGAGTCCTAGTTGGTGGTAGGGCCAGATTACCTGGGTTGACCAATGCTCGTCATGCTGTCGCAAGTAGACTATCGAGAGGAAATTGTGTTCTCCTGGCAGCTGCATGCTATCGGCACTGTCATTCAGATTCTTTGTGAAAACCAAGGCTGGGGATGCTAAGTAACATGGAGTCCTCCTTGGCTGCAGTTCTAAAGGCTTCCTGTGGTCTTCACTGGACCCTTAATGTTACCACGATTGTCAGCACTTTACAGATAGGTAGTAGTTAGCAGAGGTTGGCAGATGGTCAGGCACTGGCTGGGTCACCCAGCTTTTCTGTGCCAGAGTTCCTTGCAGACCCATTCAGCAGAGTGCCCTGATTGGCTCTTCCTCAACTGCAATGAGAAAAAGCGGAGGCTCTCTGCTAGCGATTCCTGCTCCATCTTGGCCCAAACTGGTCATGCTTCTCTGCCCGGTTGCACGGAATTCCCTGGAGTGACAAAGAGGGAAGCACTTGGTAAAAGTGCAGGCACTGAGCCTTGCTGTCATCTATATTGAATGCTGTCCCTTCTCAGCCTCCCCTGCACAGGCCCAGGCTGTGTGTTGCGAGAGGAGGTAAGATAGCAGCACCAGCGGAGTTCCCACGCTCATAACATTGCTTTGCCCACTTGAGACCCTCACATGACTGCACCGACGGGCGTGTAAACGCCCTCTGATCTAACGGTTCCCTTTACTGGGGGCAGGAGGTCCTCCATCCTTTCACTTGGTTTCTCAAAAACACAGTTCAGAGAGAAGGTGCCTTTGAGAGCAGGTTCCAAAGCCGGGCGTCTGCGTCTCTCTAAGGCTTCCCCTTTAAAGCCTGAATGGGCAACAGAGAAAGAGAAATCCACCATGAAGAGGTATAGCCTCAGGCCAAACACTGCCATACTGAGAAGGTCAAGATGGGGTCAGAAAACGGATATTGAGAGGCCACTTGATGAGGGAGGCTGGGCCTGTGCTTAGCCTTCTTCCCCTGGACCCCCCCCCCCCCACACACACACCTGGAAGGTCAAGGGAGGCAAGACTGTGGGCGGGCCCAAAGCAAAGTCGCTGTGCTTGCCACCACCCAGAATGCTGCATATCAAAGGGACATTGACTGTGGGGCAGTGGAGCTCCTGGGAGCCTGGAAGCTGGGGAGGCTTTAATGCTGAGTACAAGCTGCTTTAATAAAGCAGAGGGCTGGTCTGAGCAGCTCTCTCCATAAATCAAAGGGCGACGCCACAGCTCCCACTGAAGATCAGCAAGGCTGTGCATTGTGACTGGGACGGCCCTTAAATCTAATCCACAACTCTTTGAGCAAAAATACCACTGTGATTGCAGGGACAGAGGTGGCTGCCTGCTGGAAAATATCCCAGGGAGTGAGCATTTCCCAGGTGATAAGAATGCTGAATGGGTCTGAGCTGGGAAGCCTTGGAAAACAATTAGCTATGGAAGCAGATAACCTGTTGAAATTATGGCCTTGCACTTTATGACTCTTAATAAATTTCCTGGCAGCCTCTTTGCAGCACAGGACCCTGGTCTGCTTATACCTTTAATCGCTGGAGGGATTAAGTCATCAACGTTTCATCTACCTGTCTGACTTCAGCCAGAAGTGCAAGTTACTTGCCTGGATACCGTTCAAAATGCTGTCTATGTAGATTATAATTTTAATATATAGGGGAGCTAGCATAAGGCTGACTGTGCCCAAAACCGAAATGTCAAAATCTGCATTTGCAGCTTCGGAATTACGTTGTACACACTTTAAGTGGTAATCCTCATGGAAGATGTGAATAATTAAAAGAAAGGACATTGGGATTTACCTTTAATCCCCACTGTCTTTCCGTCACTGTAGAGAGAATACAGGGTGTATGCCAGGTGGTGGTGGTGCTCACCTTCAATCCCAGCACTCAGGAGGCAGAGGTAGGTGGATCTCTGTGAGTTTGAGACTAGCCTGGTCTACAGAGCGAGTTCCAGGACAGCTAGAACTGTTTCTCAGAGAAACCCTGTCTCAAAAAACAAGACAAAACAACACAACAACAACAACAAAAAAGAGAATATAGGGTATAGGTCACAGTTGGGCTTGAAAGTCATGCGACCCTGCAATAGCATGTTTCATTCACTGACTCCCACAGCCTCAGTCTTCTCATCTGTAGAAAGGGGTTGTGTCCATCTGCTGAACATGGAAACTATCAATCATCAGCTTTGCACACTGACTGAGCTGGCTCCCTTTTCTTTCTAGGACAAACTGACTTTGACATTTTTCCAGCTTTATGTGCATGGTGCTTTTACAAGGCTGTTATTTTTTAAGCATTCATTTTGTGTGAGGGATTCCTTTAAGAAACTCAGTAGCTTGTTTTTGTTGGATCTGAAATCCTAAAGGCAAGTTGCCTTCATTTATGGCTCTGATTTATACATCGTAAATCTGAGGATCTGATGGGTAAATTAGGAAAAAGCATTCAGGCTCTCCTCTGGCTCTGATTCAGTACTGGAAGCTATTGACTACTACCAACAGCTATAAACCTCCTCCCGCCTCTTGCTCCTCTTGCTCACATCTATTTGGGAGCTTCCTGGCCCCACCTAGATACTCCCATTCTGTTGTTTATCTGGAAAGACAATGTCCCCTTTGTCAGCCCTGTTTCTATTCTTCCTGTTCTTTAGGGTGATTCAGACACTGTATCTTCATAGAAACTCCCTGACTCTATGGTCAAAGTTGGATTCCCTTCAAGGGCCTTCTGGGCCCTGTCGTTCCCTCAACCTGTTGGTCTACCATTGTCATTTTACTGTTGTATTTCTTATGAGACGGAGTAGGCAGAAGGGCTCAGAAATGAAGCAAGGGTTGACAGGGTTCAGTTAACAGTAAGGATGTCACAAACATTAGCTCTTATTCAGTAAACTTGAGTCTTTAGGCTTGTAGGGAGGGTTGTTCTGAAGTAGCCAAAGGTTCAAGTTCAACGGGAGATATTTAAAATGGTGCGATGGTGAATCCTCATGTCAGCTCTTCAGGATTTGGAGTCCTGGAGAACACACCACTGGGGATGTCTAGAGGGCATTTTCAGAGACGTTTGCTGGAGCAGGGAAGACCCACTTTGCACCTATGGAGAGCATCGTCCCGTGATCTTGAATAAAATGGGAAAAGCAGGAAAACAACCAGGAGCCAGCATCAATTTCTCTCTGCCTGCCTGCCTCATAGTCTCACCACCTCCTCTGCCACGACAGACTCTGTCCCCTTAGAAGGAGAAAAACCACCATCAAAACGAGCAAAGCAAAATCCTCCTTCCTTTAGGTGCTTTTGCCGCAGCAGCAAGAGTAGCCAACAGGATAGTCTTGGAGATGGCAACAGCAGAAGCGTTTTCACCATGACCTGTGTGACCTCTGAGAGTCCAGTGAGGAGGGAAGCACACGTGGGAAGCATGGGTGGCCCATGTTTCAGAGGATCTTTTAATAAGTGTGGTGGCATGCCCACTCAAGCTGCAGAGAGAGCGCCTAGCACAGCGCTCATAACATAGGAGGCTCTCAGAAAGAGAAGGGATGGAGCGGACTCAGCTTTCCCATCTTCCTTTGCAGCCCCAGGTTATGAGTTGCTGACTTCTGGATGCCTCGGTTTCCTCGTGAGTAAAATAAGTAAGAACCTGATATACTTTGACTACATGAGAAGCCAAATTACTGTGATCATAAAATATTCAGCATGAGATGTAAACAATAATTAGTCAGAAAAAGTATGACCACCATAAGAATAATTTCAGTTGCTAAGACAAAGTAACCGATGGTTTCTTTGGACGTGTCCAAACAGTTTCCATGAAGCCTTTGTTTTAGTAACATTGTATGCAGTACTGGCTTCTGTGTGGAAGGTTGGGGAGTTGTTCCATCCCACCATCCAGGACTGTTGAAAGGAATGAGCAATGTGTGTGACTGCAAAGATCTTGCTAAAATCCAGGAATTATACAATAATAATGGTAATCATGTGTGACTAACAGTCTTTCCATCTCAGTCTCTCGTAAGCAATACACTTCCTCTACGTAAGTCTCCTTTACCCCCTAAATAATGCGCCACCGCTTGCATTCACATCTCCTGGCCTGCTTTTCCATGTTTTAAATTAGGCTCCGGCATGCCCATGTGAGCTAACACCCTGCCCTTAAAGAATACTGCCAGGCGACCTTTAACAACAGAGCTTGGAGATTTATGGGCTGGGCTTCGAGGAGGAATGTCAGCTTCCTAGAAATTCAGGGAAAGGGCCTCACACCTCATTTCTTCATTCAAATGAATTCAACAAATATTTCTAGAGCGTAAAGCCAGAGCCAGGCAATGTGTTGTTACAAATACGGTACACCTTAGATGGCCACACAGACTTGGAAACTAATCACTGTAATACGGGTCATAAAAGTTTTATTGAGGATCTGCACAAGGTATCTCAGTAACATACAGTGTGGAATTACCCACTCTGTGTTGGGAGGAAAGGCTTGGACCACGTCTTGTTCTGTTCAAAGGCAGATAACTGAGCTCCTTGTACCTCTGTGTACCGCTTCCAGGAATAAGGTCACAGTAACAGATCTAGCCCTATGGGGGCTGCTATTCTTGGGATAACCAGAAAGTCAGAACTCCAGTGTGCAGGAATGAATCACATTCCCTCAGGTGGGACCCAGGCTAACCCCAAGATTACCCTCCATTGTCATGGTTCCCCATGCAGCTGCGCTCTCTGTGCTCCTGCAGCACAGCACAATGGCTCCGTGACCAGGTTTGGAGCAGAAGTATGGCTAGCCTTCTTGTCTCTCTTTCCGCTGTGTAGTCTGCCTTGTCAAAGCTAGGCCCTGTGTAGAAGCCAGGTTGTGAGGCAATGTGTTCTCCAGAACCAGGTCATCTAGCTGGTAGGACTCTGATTTCCAAGGCGAGATGTAGGTCAGGTAAGCATTCTCTCAGCTGTAACGTCAAGACTTTTAGAGTCAGAGCTGCCTGCCCTGGGACGTCAGGGCCTAGGAAGAGTCCATTCTAGGGCGTTTAAGCAGAGGAAGCTATGCTTCTGTTGTCACAGCCATGGCACAGTAGGGCCAGACTAGATTTAAGACATCACAATAACAGCAGCACGGTTGGAAAATGAGCAACAGTGAGAGATAGGAAGGAAAGATGGAGCTGATGTGGAAAAGCTCGGGACTCACAGTATAAGCTTGCAAGTGGTCCAGAGAGTTTGTGTGCGCACACCTGTGTATACAAGCAGGAAGGGATTGTGCTTTTGGTGGTGATGATGATTTGGTTTTTTGAGACAGGGCTTCTCTGTACAGCTTTGGAGCCTGTCCTGGAACTGGCTTTTGTAGACCAGGCTGGCCTCCAACTCACGGAGATCCTCCTGCCTCTGCCTCCCAATGGCTGGGATTAAAAGCATGTGCCACCACTGCCTTTTTAAAAAGATTTACTCTCTCTCTCTCTCTCTCTCTCTCTCTCTCTCTCTCTCTCTCTCTCTGTGTGTGTGTGTGTGTGTGTGTGTGTGTGTGTGTGTGTGTGTGTGCATACATGCTCATGTACTTGTCACAGTAGACTTGCGGAAGTTTGATGGCAACATTGGGAGTCATTTTCTAAGCCCCCTGTGGATTCCAGGGATTGAGCTCAGGTAATCAGGCTTGCTTGGCGAGTGCTTTTACCCACTGATGATAAAGCCTTGCCAGCCCTCTCTTGAGGGTTATTACCACAGCATTCTGATAAAGTCTGAATACCTTATTCTCCAGACTAGAGGACACTCAAGTACGCCGCTTCCATCTGTTACCTGTGGTTTAAATACTGCCAACTTCATCCGTCTTAAGCTGCCCACACCCATCCCTTAGAGCAGTGCCGGGAGTAGCTGCACACAGTGGGTTCCTCTGGGGTGATGAGCTGCACACAGTGGGTTCCTCTGGGGTGATGAGCTGCACACAGTGAGCTCCTCTGGGAGACATGGAGTTCATTTCACAGGAAATGCCAGAGAGAGGAGTATTTTGCCCAAGGTCACACAGTGAATTAGTAGCTAACACCTAATCAATGTTTTAAATCCATGTCTACCAATTTTCAATATTTTTTCTTTAAAAGACTTTGCTGCCTTAAGCTGGGTAGTATGGCCAGTTCTTTGTTTCAGAAAAATAAACCAAAACAAAAACAACAAAAACCCTGCCAAGAATAGAGTTAGAGGTGGGTGATAGCGTGTGAAAGAATTCTTAACCACTGAGGATGAGTGGGCATTCTGGGAAGCTGTATTTCCGAAAGCAGGTTGCAGGCCTTGGAGAGCAGAGGAGGGCTGCAGAGAGTAAGCTCAGAGATGGAGGAGGCGCTCTAGACGGCTATGGGAGAGACCGAGGAGAGAAAGCGACCAGGTTGAGCCTGGCTAGGCCACAGCACCAGGGAGTGTGGGCATGTCTGAGGACTGATGTACAGTGTCTACAGAGTGGATGCGGTGCATGGGTGTGGTTGGGTGACAAGTTCCAAATTTCTGCCCTGTAACTGTCAGTAGTACACAAACAGAATTGTGAGAACAGGCATATTGGGAGAAAGCTTGTGCACGCTGAGTTTAGAGGTCTTGTGGGGTCACTGGGTCATTACTGTCTTGATGTCCAGACAGAAAGAAGGGATGCTCAGAATAAGATGTGGGTTACAGCAGACAGCCTAGAGAGAGCTGGGAGATTAATGAGACCTTGCTGAACTTGCCAAGTAGATGAACTTGCTAGAAATATGGAAAGGGCTGAAAATAAGTGAGAGAGAGAGAGAGAGAGAGAGAGAGAGACAGTGATGTTGTTGAAGATGACCTTCTATTGATGAGGGGAGAGTGGTTCTAGAATGTGTTGAATGATGTAGATACCACGATGGGGGCCTTTGGTCTCCCTCCACAAAAGAAAACCTTCTCAGCTGCTGTGAGAACCAGCCAAAAATGGTCCCAGCTGCTAGGATTCTTTGGGGTGCCTCTGATGTGGGAGTCCCATCTGTATGCTATGATTAGCATAATAAAGAACTGCTTTGAGCCTATGGCAGGCTAGAACAGAACTAGGTGGGGAAAGCTAGGCTGAATGCTGGGAGAGAGAAAGCAGAGTCAAAGAGAAGCCCTGTAGTCGCACTGGAAAACTTTACCCGGTAAGCCACAGCCTTGTGGCAATACACAGATTAATGGAGATGGGTTAATTAATGGATATGAGTTAGCCAGAAATACGCTTAAGCTATTGGCCAAACAGTATTGTAAATAATGTGGTTTCTGTGTGATTATTTCAGGGCTGAGAAGCCAGGAACTAGCTAGCAGCCTTGTTACAACATGCCTGACCTTAGGTTTTTTCTCTTCCTAGGCATAGAGACCTGAGGGAGCTCTGAGTGTCCAGTGTTCTCCAGAGGTTCCTGTGGTCTTGGCTGGCACTAGCACTGTGAGCGCATCACAGCGCAGCCTCTCCCTGGCCACGCTCGTCTCGTCTCGTCTGCATGCAGCAGAAGCCCCTTTGCCCTTTGCTCTTCTTAGGCGTCGCTATGGAGCACTTAACTATGAGATCAGTGTTCTCAATGTGTGGGTCTCAACTTCTTTGACAAACCTCCAAAAATATTTACACAACTATTTCTAACTGTAGCAAAATTACAGTTATGAAGTGTCAATGGAAATAATTTTATGGCTGGCGTCACCACAACTTGAGGAACTCTATTAAAGGGTCGCAGCATTAGAAAGTTTGAGAACCACTGCATTAGATTTGCTGCTGCAGAGTGAACAGGCACAAGCCCACCTAATCATTCATCAGATTCCCCAAACAAATCAGATACTGATGTATCACTGATTGAATAAAGCTTTATTTTAATGCAAAATAAAACATGAAAAATTTATATACTCATATACAATAACATCCAAAATGTCTTCAGTAATATAAATGGAATCATATTAAAAAGTTTGCAGAGAATTCACTCTCCATCCCCATATGCCAAAATACCATTTCACGTGATTTATCTTTAGAATGGGTGAGCAGGTGACTCGGTGATCACAAAAGCATGGGAGAGACTAGAGAAAGCGAGGGCATAAAGAGCAGGTTTGTGCTGTGTTCCAGCAGTCACCGGCATTGCAGTGACTGCAATGGGACACTTTCTGAAGAGCGGGCTAAGGCCTTTGGGAATGGTTTGCTTCCCACTTGGAGCTTAGTAGCCAAAGCCAACTTTAAAAGTCAGGCTGTGGGTTTTGTCTATTTAAGGAGAGGAGGGAGAAAGTTACACTTAGAAGCCATAGTTTCATGTGAAAGTTCTGGCTTATTTTTAGATTTCTAACTTTTTTTGCCCTCCTTTTTCTAGAAAGGTGAGTTTGTAGGGATAACTTATGAAGAATCCCCTTCCCCACCTCACTGTAGCCTCGTTTCTATGCAAGGTCGGTATGAACTGCGAACGGAGAGACACTGTTATGGGCTTTTCTGAACGGAACTCTCTCCTACCTGTGTGAAACTCGGCCTTTCTGTTCACATGGGCTGGGAGGCGGTGGGATGTCTGCCCAATTTAACACCAATTTGAAAGCTGCTCTCCGTGCATCTCGTGTTTAATGCTGATGGGAATTTCACAGTGACACATTCCTTTATCAACTACTTTTCAGTTCCTTCCATAGGCTTGAAACCCAGTAACACTGCTCAAACACTAAACAGCAAGCACATAAAACCGAATGCTGTTGATTTTCAGTTAGGGGAAGGTAATTGCTCTTTATAGTCTTGGTCTCTCTGAAGACCAGGCAACAAAGGAACCAGCTCTTGATCCTGAAGTTGCAGGAGGATTTCCTTCACAAGGTAGATTTAGCTAAGAAAATTCAAGGCAGTGGATTTGTTTTAACTTTATTCTGTTGGCAGCGGAAACAAGGCTCCAATGGAGACCCCGAGGCTCTGTTTCTCTGTGATTCTATTGAATACATCAGACTTTTTCTCCATGGGGTCCTGTGGGGTCAACACAGATGTTCTGAAAAGTCTAAGAACAAAGAGTTTTAGAATAATTTTTTTTTCCCAAGCTTTGTTTACTCTGAAATCATGATTTAAGAAAACATTCCTTTGTCCACTGATTCAACTCTGGAGGGAAACAGTATTAAGCCAAGAGGGATGATTGCCTCAGTCCAGGGGTGTGATATACCAGTGAGCTGTGTTTCTCTCTCTTGGAGAAGACTGAATTCTCTAGGGACTAAAAGTTTTTGGTGGTCTCTCTCTCTTATCTTTCTAGTCATAGAAGAAAGGAAGGAAAGAGGACCCACGAAGCTGGGTGGCCCAGTGGCAAGTTTACAGGTCTTGATAAGCCCTCTCTGTTTCCAATGACAGAGAGATACCCAAGTGAGTTTTCCCGAGGTTGTAAATACCCTGGGGCTCATTCCTTCTTCAGGGGACCTGCTGATCAGTGTGCCTGGACTTCCAGATAACCACCTGCTCTCCCAGAGCACGAAAATGGTCCTGATGACGTGGAGAGGAGACAGTTGGAGGGATAGTACTCAAGCATTCATAATGCTTACTGTCCGAGCTGTTCTTAATCATTGCCTGGCTTGATGCAGCCTCTGTCACAAATAGAATGTTAGTTCTTTAGGGCAGGATCAAACACAGAGATTGCTATACTTTTAAGCAAGAAAAGAAAGCTGTTATCATTTCTTTTTTGTTTTGTTTTGTTTTCTTTAATAATACCTTTGAGCCTCTGAGGGCCTCTCAGGAATAGTAACTATTGGATGGACTGTGTGCACAGCACAAAGCCAAGGTCTGAGCAGCCTTTCTGAAGCCTGCATATAGGGTGCTGTGTGCCTAAGGTGTCAGTGCTGGAGCAGGAAACATGAGCAGTCACCTGCAGGCGCCCTTCTCTACTGCACACCATGGTCACCTGCCCATGGCCCACTAAGTGGTCCAGTCTTCCTGCCAGGGGAAACTGCAGCCTTGGACAGAGTCAGTGCTTTACAGAAATTTGAGCAAAATATAGACCACACCAAAGAGTATCTTCCAAACCACAGGGTCTTGGTATATAGTCTAGGCTGGTCTTAAACTCACCCTGCAGTCCAGGCTAGCCTCCACCTTGAAGTCTGCCTGCCGGGATTCTAGGCATGTGCTACCATGTCTGGCTTAAGCTTGGTCTAATGTTCGCCCCGCCCCCCAAAGCTGCGTTTCCTTCACTGTGTCTCTTCTCCCAAAGGAAAGGCCCTTTCAGCCTGGTGGCCAGGGACCCTGTGGTGTAGCCACAGCACCTTGCTGGGTAGATCCTGAGCTCCCCCACCCCAGTGAACAAATTACATATGATGTAAGGGTTCTGGCTGAAGAGAGATGGCAGGGGACAAAAAGCAACTTGACAGTCAATTTTTCAGAGGGCCACGATAATTGTGGCTTAGATAATGATGTCTCTTGAAGCCCAGCAAATGACACTATTTACGGCTAAAACCAGCGGTTGCATCATTCTTGGTAACAAAACTATTTAAAAAAAAATAAAAAGACTAGATTGGGCCAGATGGCTACTCTATGTATTTTAGAATACCATAATGCAATAAATTCTGTCGGTCAGTGGTATTCTATCCTCAGCCAAAATATGCCTATATTGAACTAAAGACCTTTTGGGGACAGGGGTGAAGAGGGAATGTGAACGGCTTAGCAGACACAGAAATTCAGAGAGCCGGCTGTGCCTGCTTCTTAGTCTTTTGCTTGTATTCCCATTTGGATCAGTTTGGAAGCTTCAGACCCTCTGTTGTGAAGAAAAGCTCACAGGTAGCAAGAGTGGCCTTCAGTTTCTTACGCCAGAGACAGATGCTTTTTCTGTTTTCTGTCTTTTAAATAAGGTGGAGCCCCTGGCTTGGCCCTGACATTTGTTAATGAGATAGAGCAGATGCAGACTGATTTAATCTTATGCAGCTTCTCCTTTTACTTCCTCTGATTTCTTCCTCATCAAACTTCCAGAAGGCAATTTTCTCTTTTACTCTCCATACTGGTAATCACATGTGTTTGGAAACACACACACACACACACACACACACACACACACACACACACACACTTCCATCTACTTTCTGGTGACCAGCTTCCTCACTGACCCTGCGGCAGACGGGTACTGTTTGGCACTGAGTCTGAACTGACATCCCTAGGACATTGCTCTCTGTGTGGCCTGACCAGCAGGCTGTCTTTCCCCCTTAAGTGGGAGTCTAAAAGTAGAGGTCTCCGTGAAGCTAATGACAGGCATTTGGGAAGGACTCTGAAATCAGCTGCCTCCAAGCATGCATGCCAGGGCCTGGGAGAGAGGACAGCAAGGGCCATGGGACAGCAGCCCTCTTCACCTGCTCACTGTGGTGCTTGGTTGGAATGAGTTCCTTCTGGAAGCTCTGATAACTTTGCCCATCCTCCCAGGATGCTAATGCTGCATTCAGATTCTACTGACTTTTATATCAAAAGCAAGGAAATGTGAAAGCTTTATATCAAACAAGCGGTACCAGGTAGCCAAGGTAGACTATAAATAAGGAAATGCAGTCTTCCTTCGGGTCCAAAGTCTCACAAAGGTCACTGGTCACGATTATTGTTACTTGGTTCTCAGTGAAAACGCCGTTCTTATGAAGACGCCCATATTTGCAGCCTCTACTTTGTCACTGTGTAGGCTTCACAGCTCCATCTCTGAAAGGGTGACTAGGCCTGGCCGAGACAGCCACCTCTGTACTGCTTCCTCTACTGTGTGTGGTGATGAGGGGGGTACTGTGTGTGGTGATGAGGGGGGTACTGTGTGTGGTGATGGGGGGGGTACTGTGTGTGGTGATGGGGGTACTGTGTGTGGTGATGGGGGTACTGTGTGTGGTGATGAGGGGTACTGTGTGTGGTGATGGGGGTACTGTGTGTGGTGATGAGGGGTACTGTGTGTGGTGATGAGGGGGGTACTATGTGTGGTGATGAGGGGGTACTGTGTGTGGTGATGAGGGGGTACTGTGTGTGGTGATGAGGGGGTACTGTGTGTGGTGATAGGGGGTACTGTGTGTGGTGATGGGGGTACTGTGTGTGGTGATAGGGGGTACTGTGTGTGGTGATGGGGGTACTGTGTGTGGTGATGGGGGGGTACTGTGTGTGGTGATTGGGGGGTACTGTGTGTGGTGGTGGTGAGGTACTATGTGTGGTGATGGGGGGGTAGTAACCAGCACTGCTTTTCTAGTCAGGGTTTACTATAGTGTAACTCCATTGATTGTTAATCAATTGCCACTCTCCTTCAATCAGCCAGCCTTTCAAGTATCAGGAAGTACTGTTTTTTATGACCCCTCCCCCTTCTTCCTTTTGAATCCACATCCCCAAACCCCCTGTCCCTTTTTACCCTCTTCTCATTAGCAATCAAGTGTCAACATCCTCAGTGAGCAAGGGCTACTCTGTACCATGAAGCACCTTAACCTAGAGAAGGCCTTAGGGTCTAGCCAGGGCAAAGGTGGTGCTGGATAGCTTTCTTGCTTGGAAGATCTCTGCGATGTTCAGCTATACGGCTGCAGTCATGGGGTTTTTCTGCCTGGGATCCTGGTTACGATAGTGGTGCCGGTCAGGGCTGCCCCCTCGGGGCCCTGCTCTGCCCATCTCCTGATAGACGGGAACTCT